GTAATCAATAATGAATACTTTTCGTGTTACGACACAAAAGATAACATAGGTCACGTATTATAACTTGTAACAGCGGTAGTACTAATCATGTAACACATTTCTTTAGCTCGATAACCGATTTGTTTATTTATGTATCATAAATGCCATTATTTGTGTTAACGGAAAATATAATTTTTTTAAAAATAAACCAGAAGGACTCTCGTTCCTTTGAACAATCAACATTTCATATAATAGGCTTTCTTCAAATTAATAGTTCGTTTAAAGAAAAAGGGGTCATCGATGACCCTGAAAATTCTGGACAGACGTGATCATTTTTGTATTTTTCTGCTGGAAATCAATTTTAATTAGGCTCCTTGGGTCAGATGTGTCATGTAATGTATTTCTGGGACTCTGTCGAGTCCCAAGAAAGTTTTGAAATTTCCTTTCCGTGTAACATGAAACACAGTTTTCGACGACGGTGCTGCAACAAGAGAAAAGGAATTGCGGCGATAACGCTATCAGCTGCTTGTGACACCGCATAAAACTTCGAAGTAAACGTAATTCATAATGGTATCATCGTATATTCTTGGTAATCATCATAGCAGGCATATCGTTATGGCCATTGAAAAAGTGGAGCAACATGGCACGAAACCGAACAAAAGGAACACGATTGTTCGATCAACGGAAATGTGTATGACGTTTCGAGAGAATATTTATTTTCCGTTTTCAACCCTTGAAACGCGATTAATGCGGGTACACGAGCGACTATCAACGAATTCCAGTAATAATATTTATAACTTAGGAAGCAATTCTTAATCGTCAAATGCGTCGAACAAAAAGAGTGAACATTTCACTATTACTGGTAAAAATGTTAGCAATTATTTCGAAGCTCAGAATGTTTATACCTAACCCATTAAGTACCAGTGTCTTATTTAGAGGATATTTAGAAAATTCTTTTTCATTTCGTGAGATTTTTCGAGCATAAAATTGAAATCTAAATATAGTGTTCTATAATTTTTTTATAAGTCTTTTTATTATACAATATTCTAAATAAAAAAAAAAATTATATTCGATAATAATTTACTTGACTTTTCCAGTCTGAAATGTTTTCAGATTTTTGTTGTTAAAAAATAATTCTACCTTGCGTTATTATGATTGTTTGTCTTGATACTATTCGGTGTGCCAGTAAAATAATTTTTCTTACTAAAAGAAAGTATTTTTAAATTCGATACATAATGGGTTAAGTTTTGAATCACCGTAACAATTGTTACGAAACGAACGTTCCGTCCAATCGTGTAAATAAGTAATATATTGAAGTGATTTTGACAAGAAATTGCCGATGTAAATAGAAAAATTGATCCATCGATCCCGTTCAGCCGTGTAATTGGTATCAATTGCCGCTCTAATTTCTTTAGAATCGTAAGCGTCACAGAGCCACAGCAATTGAGAAGTTACTGTTAAAACAATGTTTCGTCGCCGGTTTGGGAGATTCGGAAACGCGATGGGAAAACAAAGGAGACAAATCAAGCGTGATATTCAATATATCGTGACAGGACATTGCCCATTCTCGGAAATCAATCGCGAACCAAGAGTCGATTACAGAGTATTACTGTACGTCACACGCGTACTTAGGAACAATATATTACATTACGAAAGCGTAAAGATGAGAGAATTGGTCAGATACTCGGTTAAACATGATTTCATTTACGACGTATGAGTAATTGGCCTCTTCTTTTATCATTTTCTGTTTCAAACAGAAGACATTCACACTGCACGTTGGATCCAATAACAATAATAATAAAATGAACAATTTTCGATGAACCGTTGCAAAAGAGTCTGTAAACCATAAAATTGTATAACGTTTTATCCCATAAAATTAAAATTAAATTAAATTTAGTTTTAACTGTTTTTCCACACGGTGTTTGTCTCGCGATTATGGTCGCGTTGCAAGAACCATCGCCTTTGTAATTTATCTGTATCGAGGTGTAACGTTTCTGTTAATATTCGTAAACTATCTCCTCCTATCTCTTTCTCTTTTTTTTGTCACGCGACCTGCACCGCTACCGTTCGCCGTGAATTATAACAACGCCGATAAATTATAAATAAAATGGAACGATCGACCATAGGTATTGGCATGTGGTGAAGACATAAGTGTGCCTAAAAAAACTTGCCGTATCGCATGTTAGTTCGATGCGTACTCGGCCCTCGTTGTAAGTAGCGTTTAACACTAACATGAACTAACTTCGAACACTTCGTCATAGCAATCAGTCTCCCGCCTACTATACAATCGAAGGTCTATTCGAAATTACTAGGTTCGTGTTTGAAACACAGTTGCTCAACGCTAGATTCACAGAACTAAACGTTAATCAATTCTATTGAATTTCACGCGAATTATCCGAATTAAGAGAAAAAAAGAGATAAAAATATGTGTGGGATCGATGCCCGTAAATCTAGCGTCGAAGGTTCCCTTTTTCGATTAATTTAGATCGCGACGAGTCCTTAATTATTCACGTCTCAGTGATCATTCGTAGACGTAATTTAGCGGAATCAATCGACACCCCCTTCGAGCTTCACTTTTTTTCACATTTCTTTCGCTGCAGCAAGAATTAATCAGCTTGCGACTAATATCTAGAGACCTACTTACAACCTGGGTAGAGGAGCATGCAGCACTTTTGTACCGTACATGTACATACGTATATATGTGTTACCGTATAAGGCTCATCTTTTACTCGTGTGCACTGTATTTTTACAAATGTGTATATTTCTTCTTCTTTTTTTTTTTGTATCCGGTTCAATAACGAACAGCGCATCTTGCCACTTGAATGTACATACCGACTAAACGATGTCGTTAAACGTTAACGAGGAATGTATGTGAATAGATGTCATGTTTAATGAAAACTACAGCTGCATTTTGTTATTTGTTCTTCACTTTTTCGTTTTACAGTGGCTCGCGAAAGTATCTAAACACGTGTAATCGTTGCAAAACATTTATTTGAAACACGAGCTGTACGAAGGCTATAAAATTATTCCAATTCATGGTTAATATTGTACATTAGCGTCTCATAGGTTCCCTCGTTACTAATTTTACAAGTCATAAACAACCGTGTACTAATATTTACATTTGTGTACGTTACATTTTGTGGAATTCCCGATTTCTGTCATTTCTTTTTAATTCCTTTGAAATTTATATTTAGAGTCGTTTTAGAAATGTTAAATAGTCAAAATCGAACTGGTAAATGCTCCGATTAATATCAAGGCGTTGGGGTGGTGTTTGCAAAGTAAAATCTATTAAAAATACTCGCGTTATGCTTTGCATCATTGTCATTTTGGAACCAAAGGTCATTTAATACTCCAAATTTTTCTACACTTTCTCAGCACTTTTGTTTCAAAATATGTAAATATCTGCACTCGACTGAAGTTTCTTCCGAAAGCAACCAGACTTCCTGTCTCCCCTACCGCCATATAAACCCCTCTGTTTTATACTCGTGCATCGATTTTAAATGTTTATTTTTTTACAACCAAAATTACGTCCAGTTTATCTTATATTAAAGTAATTTATACAAAGAAATTGTGGGACACGTTCCATCGAAATTGTAGGTAATTATAGCTGCAAGTCTTTGAACGAAGGCGTTTATATTTGACATGCAACAGTTTTTCTTCCTCTATTTTTAATAATAATACAATTTTTTCTTTCCCACCTATTTGGACACGAGTCTGAACTAAGAACGATGCAGTTACACACTTTACTCTGACAATTCACTGTTTACATCGTAGTTTTAACCCTAGGAGGACTTCTAACGCCTTAAAATTATTTTAATGTACGTAAATTGTTATGTCACGTTTAAAATTAAGAAAAGAAGAAATGTAAATACTATAATGGAATCACGTGATAAACAAAATGTTTGGAACAGTGTTATCGGTGATTTCACATTCACTGTACACAGAAATAGCTAAGTAGAATCGAATCTTTTTCTGTTCTTCCTGTTGTCTACCATAAGTGGAAATGTATCTAATTTAAACTTGAACAAGAAAAGTCACCCTAGGGTTAAACATGCCTGTTCACATACACCTACGACCCTTACACAGCTCGTATTTGCAATAAATGTTTCTCGATTGGTGTACACTTTATCAAACTGTCTTAAAAAACATTTCACCGTGTATATTTTTTACTACGAGTGTTGGAATACTTTCGTAAGACATTGAGTGCCATCCACCCCCTTACTGTAAATACTAACCATTGTTCACACCTCCCATCCATCCCATACACGTACCGTTCGTTTTGTGTCTTCTTTTTCGATTCACCTTCCGTTTCGTTATTTGCATTCGTGCACATTAGCTTTGTGCACACATGCGTACTAGTTTTATAGAAAAAAAATTGCACTTGACGCGCGTGTGGCATACCTCGCTAGTAGCTCACGTACATACATGTCGTAGTACCATAGTTCATGGCCGGTGAGTACATTTTGTTTTCAACTTCATCAGAGAGACACGAGAGTCCCATATAGAAACTATCGTTCTAATTTCTTTTTCTTTTTTAGAAATTTCTGTATAATTTACGAAAGGTATGTTCCATATCGGACTCGAGTGACTTATTGTTGCACTGTAGTTTTCTCACGTTTTTCTTGCATGCTTGCCTTCGCAATGTCTTCGTATCGTGCTTGCTTTGCTTTCGTTTACGCTAACAGCTATTAAAAATTAACTTGATGTTACGAGAATATACGAGACAAGTAACAAACAACATAGAAATTCGTTTGCTGTACTAAATCTGTCCGGTGATATTTTCCAATAACAATTGCTCGTACGTATTTATAATATATCGGTGTACAGTAACAACATTAAACAGAGTCGAATGTCTAACAAACAGGAATATTCATTTTACCTTCGTAGCTTAAAAGCAATCTTCTTAGAGCCTGTAAAACTTGTTGAATTAATTGTTAGATGATTTGATCGTAAGGGAGAGAGAAGTTCGACGTTGCAACGTCAAATGCAAATGCGGGTAATTATTTGTCTTTCTGTTTCAGACAACACTTTGCTGGCGATAGACCCGGTGCCGCCTCATGGAAACGTCCAACCGCCGCCGTACATTTCGCCACCGACTCCCGAGGAATGCCAGAAGGATCATAAGATCCAAGAGATCCTAAAGAGCTCTCAAACAAGCCAAAAAATTCAAACGCAGTGCGACAATCAACAGAACTATGGACGACAGGTTCCCCATCCTCAGCAGATCTACGTCCACGATGCTCGACGGCACTTTTACAACAATAACAACAAATTCTTCGAGCAGAATCAATTGCCAGGTTACAACGAGTACCAGCATGGCTGTGACCAACGTCAAATCGTGCACATGCACAACGCGAGGAACCAGCAATACTACTCGCAAGGAAAGGATGTCAATCAACAGTTTTACACGTTGCCATCCAGAAGACCGCAGAGGGAGGTCGAACCACCCCGTAGTGTCACACCAGACATTACCAGAGGTCTGGGACGCGGCTCCTTGAGCACGATGCACATGCTCGCGAGGCATGGTCAAAAAACGATGGTCGAGCAGGATTCCAATCGATTTGGCTCCCAGGTAGAGCTGAACAAACGAAACGCAGAGAACTACGAGATACAGGATCGCCTAATGCAGAGTCATCAGCAGCCACCTATTGTGGATGTCAGAAACAGGTAGGCGCAAGAAAGAGGACACAAATTAGAGGAAATATAAAAGGGAAAAGAATTGAGCTCACGAATTATATTTTATTCAACTACTTATACAGGGTGTTCGGGCAACCCTGGCAGAAATTTTAATGGGGAATTCTAGAGGCCAAGATAAGACGAAAATCAAGGATATCAATTTCTTGACCGAGGCTTCGTTAAAAAGTTATTAACAATTAAATTCAACAATTTTAAACCGCTCTGGAAAAATTATTTTTAGTTTTGGGGGTCAATTACAATAACTTTTGGTCATTACACATATCCCCGAAATACTAGGCATTTTCGAGAAAAAAATTCGAGAAGGTGTGAAATTTTTCAAAGGAAAAAAAAATGTCAAATCGTCTTGGAAAAATTATTTTCGGTTGCGGGGGTTAATTATGATAATTTTTGGTGAATAGACATACCCCCGAAATCCTAGGCACTTTCGAGAAAAAAATTCCTTACCAAAAATCTAATTCGACGAAAAATAAAAATTTCAAATCGTTCTGGAAAAATTATTTCCGGTTGCGGGGGTTAATTACAATAATTTTTGGTGAATAGACATACCCCCGAAATCCTACCCACTTTCTAGAAAAAAATTCGAGAATGTGTGAAATTTTTCGACGAAAAAAAAAATTTCGAATCGTTCTGGAAAAATTATTTCCGGATGCGGGGGTTAATTACAATCGTTTTTGGTGGATAGACATACCCCCGAAATCCTGCGTATTTTCGAGAAAAAAATTCAGTACTGATGGAACTTTAAATGTTAGTAACTTTTTAACAAAGCCTCCATCATCAAATTGGTATTCTTGATTTTCGTCTTATTTTGGCCTCTAGAATCTCCTATTAACATTTTTCCCAGAGTTGGCCGCACACCCTGTATAACGAATGAAATTAATCCGACGAAATGATAGCAAAAGCAGGATTTATTTAGTATTTGATCAATTATGAAATATTTATTATTTCCACATTCTCAAAAGATGTGTCTATTAAGATTAAAAGTATGAAACGCGAGAAAAAGTTGAATGTGTCGATAAATCGCGAAGATTCTATGCACATATGCACATACTTACTACGCGTTCATTTCTTATATTTTGTTCATTTTTCTTGATATTTATACAAACGATATAAATACTTTTTTTGTTTATTTGAAATTGTTAACTTTTGAGAATATAAACGTTATTATTGAGCATTTCAGTCGAAAAATTGTCAGAAAATAGTTGAAAGAGTTTCATTCTGAAACGTTTCCCTCTGTTCATCTAGATTCGCAACACCATTAGGCCTAACAGCGTTGGGATATCGATTTTTCGCGTCCTCGCCTGTTCGTGATCCCGTTATGAAGTCTTCTAGTGCTGATGCTTTAAAGCACAATCCAATTTCCCCGATCGGGCACAGCTATGGCAATAGTTTCAAGTCGTCCACGCCGTGCGGACGTAGTATGCCAACTGTTGCCGAACGTTTGGCTCTGACTGCTGCCAGCAACTGCTCCTCGCCGATGCCGAACTCCGGTAGGAACACGCCCGTGCAAACATCCTCGGGCAGAACTACACCGACCAATTTGATTCTATCGCCGACGAAAAGCACGATGTCCAACGAGGAGCTGTTCGCCGCTATTCACAAATCGAAGAAAAGACTGAACATCAAGGATGACGGGGAGAACCTCTCTCCGTACGGATCGACGAACTCGTTGGCGAAGATGCCGCCTGGGAACAGACACAGCTGGAGCTCCGAGTCGCAGAAACCTCAGATGGTACGTTAACGATTGTTTTCGATCGCTTCTCTGTCAGAAAATCACGTGGTTCGTTCGATAAAGTCCTTGGAAAATCAAAGACCTGGCGGTCGTTGCATCAGAGTCATGGTTTCATTTTTATTGTCGATCGAAGCAAGAAGCTTCCTCTTGCATCAAGACGATAAAGTTCGAATTATTCGGTATTCACCGGATTTGGCCCCCCCCCCCCTAGTGACTTTTTCTTTTATTTGCAAACTTAAACAAATGGCTTGGTGAACAACGAGGGGATCACTGCTCAAGCAGATGCCTATTTCGAGGATCTTATGAAATCTTACTATTTAGATAGCTTCACAAAGTTGGTGAAACGTTTGGAAAAGTGTGTAGAGCTAAAAGAAAAATAACAAAAGATTCTACCTAAAATAATTTATTTTTCTATCTTTTTCCAAGGACTCATCGAACTACCCTCGTATCACCCCACGATTATTATCTGTTTCAGGTAACGCAGAACGCACAATCGTCACCTGCCACGTCACGATTGGACTTTAAACGTTTGCTGCTTCAACAGAGCGTGAAGACGGGACCTACCAGGCTGTCCGCGGCGGAGCAATTGAAGCTGTCGAGACAGCAGTCACAGCAGCAACAATCGTCGCCGACAATCCAGCAAACGACCCCTTTGGCCAAAGTTCTGAGTCCTCGATCTGTGTGGAGGTTTCAAACGCCACGTACGGACGTCCTGTCGTCCACCATCATCGAGGACACAGCGGCTGAGGAGAAGGCCATGAAACCATCGCCGGAAAACTCTTCCCCCGTTTCGAGGCTGAACGCGAGGAGGCAGTTGGACCTCTGCAGCGATCTACCGAAACATCTGGAAACAATGGCCACCGATTGCAACAACAGGCTATCGTTGGACAACGTGGAGGTCTCTGACTCGATGTACGCCAACGAGATTCAGAGGCAAGAGTCCAGCGTGGGGAACTGTATGACTGTCGGTGACAATCGTCTGGTCTCCAACTTGCAAACCAGCGTTTCTCGATCCGCGTCGCCAGTTAAAACCGTCTCGGATCCGCAGAACAGCACGGCGATCCAGTATCCGGCCAACTGTACGCAGCTGACGCTTTCGTGTCAGCAAGCGATAAGCGCCTTCGAGTCGAGGAGGATCAGCAATCAGCTGGCCAGGGCGCAATTCTTGGCTGGCACGACTGCGACATCGAACCAAGGCCACAATACTTACGTTAGGCAGATACTGAGAGCGAGATCCGAGTCCCCGCAGAGCGTCGCGACGCAAAATGTCAGCCGTAGTCCTAGCGCCCCTACCCTGGAGACCGCTTTATGATCGCAACGCGCGTTTTCGGCGACCAGACGCGACACTCTGAGGACCAGAATGGACGAGCTTCTTCGACACGTACGTTTTTGGAGAACGTAACCGGAAATTGAACAGTTTCCATGGTTGTCGAAAATTTCAGATACGCAGGGTTGTTTTTCTTGGTGAGATTTAAGTTGAGATTGTAAGAATTCACGAAAACGTGTGGTTTAAAAAGAAAATAGATATTTAAGATTGTCTTCTTTAAGTCACGTATCTTCGAGATTGTTTGCGATCTCAACTTACGTGGAACACCCTGTATGTATATCGTTTTGGTAAATTTCGTCCTTCTGATTCTCGACGCGTCGTGTTCGACCGGCGAGAGTAATTTTCTAGAAAGCCAGGTGGTACGCTCGGAGAAAATAAATTAAAGAGTCTAGAGATAGTTGGATACCTGTGAATTTATAAATCTAAGTCGTCTCAGTCCAAATTCTATCGTCGAATCGTAATCGATTGTTACACCAAGTGGACAATAATTTGTTACGTCATGCGAGTTCATGATAGAGATTAGTATTACGCAGTATTGGATTACTTTTTTTGTCAGGTAAAAGTATAACGAGGCAGGGCAAAGGACGTCGAGCGGTCGCGTGGAATCTAAAGCAACGAATACGATCGATTCGCGTCGTTCGAGTTCATTTAAAATCGCGACGTTTTGTATAGCTCAAACCGAAGATTTTCATAACGCGCGTACTTGAGTTCGTTCGTGGAAAGCAATAACTTTTAATGCAAATAATCTCTTCCTGAATTTTAAGAGGAATTTATAAGGTGTTCGGCAAACCCTGGGAAAAATTTTAATGGGAGATTATAGAGACCAAAATAAGTCCAAAATCAAGAATACCAATTTGTTAATTAAGGCTTCGCTAAAAAGTTATTAACATTTAAAGTTCCAGTACCTACTTGAATTTTTTTCTCAAAAGTGGGTAGGATTTCGGGGGTATGTGTAATGACCAAAAATGATTGCAATTGACCCCCGCAACTGGAAATAATTTTTCCAAATCGATTTGAAAATTTTTTTTCCGTCTAAAAATTTCTTACCTTCTCGAATTTTTTTCTAGAAAGTGGGTAAGATTTCGGGGGTATGTGTAATGACCAAAAATGATTGTAATTGACCCCAGCAATTGGAAATAATTTTTTTAGAACGATTTGAAAAATTTTTTTTCGCCGAAAATTTTCTGCACCTTCTCGAATTTTTTTCTCGAAAGTGGGTAGGATTTCGAAGTTATGTGTAATAACCAAAAATGATTGTAATTGACACCCGCAACAGAAAATATTTTTTTGAGGACAATTTGAAAAAATTTTTTTTTGGACAAATTTCTGCACCTTCTCGAATTTTTTTCTCGAAAGTGCCTAGGATTTCGGGGGTATATGTAATGACCAAACATGATTGTAATTGACCCCCGCAACCGAAAATAATTTTTTTAGAACGTTTTGAAATTTTTTAATTTAATTCATAATAACTTTTTAACGAAGCCTCAGTCAAGAAATTGATACTCTTGATTTTCGACTTATTTTGGTCTCCAGAATCTCCCATTCAAATTTTTCCTAGGGTTGGTCTAACACTCTGTATATTTGATGCTTTAGCGAATGTAACGAGAGATTTAATGCAGAACCAAGGAGAAATCGCTAAGTTATGATGCAACATAATGACTATTGTAAGCCTTTGAACGAAAACTGATCAATATTTAAAAATCGATAATATTTATTCATGACATTCGAACGCTTTAACTTTATAAGGCGTCGACGATCGTTGATACGTTCATTTTCTTTTTAATGAACAACACGAACGAGTGTTATTGTTTCTCGAAGGAGAGCGTGTCACTGAAAGCTCATAATTACTGGTTCCTTGATGAAATTTACTCTTAAGATGCTGATTTGGCCCCCCAAAAATATTATAAAAGCAAACAGAGTCACGTTTCTAAAAGCATATAGCAGAACTCTTGTAAATAGCACACAATGTAATTACGAATGCATTCTGCTTAAAATTCAATCGCTTGCTTGTCTAGTCGGGGTAGTTTAATATCCACAATATCGAATTTCTTCAAAGTATGTCCATTCACTCGAGGATTACGCGGTAACCGCGTGATTTGTATTATCGCGAGTCGGCGTATAATGAAATTTAAGCTTTACGATTACTGGGTGGTGAATAGTAATATATTCGAAGAAGACTAATGCGTAGAGTAATAACAGAGTTGCCTTAATTAAATTATTTTAAGTTATGCCGCGGACGGTCGGTTGTGTATTCGCAAGTAAATTGCGTTACGGCGCATGCGCAGATGTAATGAGAAAAATTACAGATGATAATATTACAATTTTAAGCTGAAAATGTTTTGTACTTTATTCAAAATAAAAAGAAACATTCATTGAAACTTGTATTATATTTTTTTGAAAACTTGCTCCCTTCACTTAACAATTTTAAATAATTCGAAAACTGTTCGTTACCTGAAACGTTATCAACTTGTTTCCTGGGAAAAATTTTAATGGGGGATTCTAGAGTCCAAAATAAGATGAAAATCAAGAATCAGTCCCGCCAGTACTGAATTTTTTTCTCGAAAATGCGCTGGATTTCGGGGGTATGTCTATTCACCAAAAATGACTGCAATTGACCCCCGCAACCGAAAATAATTTTTCCAAAACGATTTGAAATTTTTTTTTCTGTCTAAAAATTTCTCACCTTCTCGAATTTTTTTCTAGAAAGTGGGTAGGATTTCGAGGGTATATGTAATGACTAAAAATGATTGTAATGGACCCCCGCAACTGAAAATAATTTTTCCAAAACGATTTGAAATTTTTTTTTTTTCCGTAGTAAATACAAAAACTTTCTCACTCTATTGGCAGGGATAGACAAGTACATGCTACTTGGGACGATTAATAGGAGAGTCGTTCGAAAAATGAAATGCCCAGTGAAGTGGAACTAATTCATACATGTATATTGACAAATAGTGTTACCATTATCACTAGTTAATGATAATGGGTCATTGTAGATAAACTAAATATGACGGATTACGATGTTGTACACATTTTTATTTTCTCTTTCCATGCAAGATAAATGAATGGAAATTTTTCTTTCTGCGTTCTCTCAATGTTATCGCTTCTTATTGCAACAACATGTGGCCCTCTCTTTTTACGTATTACAAGAAAGTGATCTGCGTACGATACTTATGGTCACTTCGATACATTATTCGATGCGTTATTGTTTTTGTATTGAAACAAATTCAAAGTTATAAAACTAGAATCAAAAATAATTGTTCTCTTAACCTGATCAATTGACCGATAGCAGTATCGTGCAAAGTTCTCACGGCATTTACATTCCTTTTTATCTTCATTTTGACGAAATGAAACAAGAAACAATGAAACTTACAAACGTGATGACAGCCGGAGCCAGCGTGGTCAGATTTAACGGCGTTAGCCTGATCGCGGACACGTAAATGGGCACTATACCTAATTCACTGTATATCTATATATATCAAGACGCAATCTACCCCCCAGTTTTTCGTGGACTAGTTCCTTATTTTCGACGCTAGATGGCGCTCATTTTCGACCTCAGGCCCCCTGGTGCTAAAACGCCCAAGTTTGTCGAGAAATCCATCTAGCGTTGAAAATAATGAACTACTCCACGAAAAACTATTGCGTAGATTGCGTCTTGATATATATAGATATACAGTGAATTAGGTATAGTAGTGCCCATTTACGTGTCCGCGATCAGGATAACCGATAACGCTGTTAAATCTGACCACGCTGGCTCCGGCTGTCATCACGTTTGTAAGTTTCATTGTTTATTCTTTCATTTCGTCAAAATGAAAATAAAAAGGAACTTAAATGCCGTGAGAATTCCAGCGTTTAAAAAAGTTATAAAAGTGAAACGTAGCTTGCCAGATGTACAAGAACAATCCACCGTTTCTAAAGCATTAGAAAATGTTAAAAGAATTTTGAAGGTTAGTTATCGTATGCGAATATAACCTATTCGTTACTTTGTTTTATTAAGTACTATAATGCGAGTACAAAATTTTGTTTGCTTTTGTAGAAGGAAACTCCGGAGACGACAAAACCTGTTGTAAATTTAAAACCGACTATAGTACGCAAGACAAAAAGAATAAGAGTAAGAAAAAATGTAATAAATCGTAACAAAATAAGTCCGAAAGGTATAGTGTACGTTGGTCATATACCTCATGGTTTTTATGAAGAGGAAATAAAAAGTTATTTCAAACAGTTTGGACAAGTGTCAAGAGTGCGGATTGCTAGATCAAAAAAGGTAAGTATATTTTCAAAATATCAGCTAAGTAAATTTATATATGTAATATACACGGAATTTTCTAGAATGGTTGTAGCCGTGGTTATGGTTATGTTGAATTTTTGCTTCCTGAAGTGGCAAAAATAGCTGCAGAAACAATGAATAATTATCTCATGTGCGGTAGATTATTAAAAGGTGATGAAATTTTCATATATTACATATAATACATAGAATTTAATAGGATTAATACTAAACATATATTTTAATTACTTCTGTTTCTAATATATTGATTTTACTTAGCTACATACGTTCCACCCGAGGAACAACATCTAGGCTATTTTCATGGAAGACCTTGGTCAAAAAGTATGTACCCCAAACTAATAAATAGAAAGAAGACAAACAGATTAAGGAATGCAAAAATTGTGAAAAGGGTACATACAAGCTTTATACAAAAAACAGTGCATAGATTGAATGCTCTAGAAAAGATACTAGAAGAGAAAGGTCACAGTATAAAATTTTCACCGGTTGGCAATATTAAGGATATCAAGTATAAAAATAAATTTGATATCACTTCATCTTCCAAGCAAGACAAAACAGAAGATATGTCGACTTAAGTTTTACAGAAACTCTTTGTATAAAATATTTAACATTAAAGTAATTTGTCATGAAATTTCGAGCTTATCTTTTCCATTTCCTGAGCCACCTTTCATCCGCTTCCACTTCATTCGTCTATTCTGAAACCACACTTTAACCTAGAAAATGAATTTAACAAGTTAGCAAACTTTTAGGGGGTTAGGTTAGAGATGAGTTGAGACGAACTAAATTTGGGGTTTATTTACGTTATTGCTTGTACAATAAACCAGAATAATTAATAAATAATGTATGTATTAGCAAAATTATCCTTCAAATCAATTTGTTTAATAATTATCAAGGTTCGATAGCATCGATAGATATCGAAACAATCACGCTGTGCCAAAACTTTTGTCCCGTATTATAATTGGCTGTTTAAATGCATTTTTCATAACTTCTTCATCACTTTTGGACAAAATAGATGTTACACTTTTTATTCATAAAGATGTGCAGAGAATTTTTCTTTCATAGATGATTGAGAAAAATTTTTCCCAGAGGTAGTCGAACACTCTGCATAAAGCTCATTGTATAAGTGGCGTAATATTAATTTACCTGACGTTCTGTTATATCTAATGCAACTGCTATTTCGTAACGACGTAATAGCGTGAGGTAATTGCTGTGTGCGAATTCGTACTCGAGATGTCCAATTTGTTGCTCTGTAAACGCTGTCCTTTCTTTCCGAGGTTTATCACGAACCGATCTTCTTGTCTCTGCAATATAGACGTTGCAAATTTTATATTCGTCGTGTTTAATATGCGTTTTGCGAAATTAATAAAGATAAATTATTATCTTATATTGTATAGCATGTTATATTGAAGCATTACTTATATAAAGTTAGTGTAATTATTGAAATTGTGTTGTACAATATGTATAGCTTCAGAGTATATTAATCATTTCTTCAATTGAGCATATAATTATTCGCAAATTGTTACTTGGTAATGTGAATAAAGTAATCTGGCAATGAAAGTTCTTTGAATATATTTTAATATACATAATTTACAGTTTAATGTAACAAAATCGTCAAAATATTTAAAAGTTTCGATTTGTAATTGTGAGAAACAATTTTTAACAAATCTTTGTGCTTTTTTACGTTACGAAAGTTACTCGTTGATGCTAGAAATTAATTAAAACAAACGAAATCTATAAATTTCGATAGGCATTTGTTTCTTTTGTGTAAAATTTTAATTTTGTTGAATGAAAACTAAAATTGGGTAGCGAAGACCTATTCGATCGACGTTAGCTACTATTTACGAACAAAATGGCGGCACGGAAGTAAAACGAAGAGCCTTGCCGCTAATCGGGCCACGTTTTATATCACTGTATACGATCCTGAGATGCTGGCAACTTACATTACATGAGCGGCACGTTTATTACCCCAACACTAGCGCAAACGGCAATGACGCGTTAAATATGAAATGATTTTCATCTAGCCGCCACTTTGCCACAAAAAGTTCAGGCTCGTTGAAGCGCTATCATAGCCTCGCTATTCTACAGAGTGTCAAAGCTCAAAAATAGTCAGATCGGAAAAGATAATATGTATAGTACTGGAGAAAAATATAAGACATTTCGAATGCTTGTTTAATATTTTTAAAAAGCAATGCTACTAGACCCACGCTTTAAAGACCAACTGTAGTAACTCAAATAAAGAGTATCACATCTAAAAAAAAAATACTGATAATAACAATAGAGATAAATCAATTGGAACATATGAAGATAATGACACGTCAATAAAATTGTTTATAAATTAACACAACGTCAGAATTTCTAATTTTATATACATTTATAGATTTTATAAGAGAACCAAAATGGAGGCTTTTTAAATTTCTCGATGGTGAACTTGGCAACGAAATGGACGCTACAAATCGAGTAGAGTGTTGTAATGAACGTAAAGAAAAATAGATATATATTTCAAGGAAAACGTTATACAGTTATAACACTATTTCGGTGCTTTGTAACTGTTTTGAGAACCGAAATCGATATTATTCAATCCCTGTTTAGAACTCGTCATTCAAATTATGTTTCCATTGAACTATCCAAATTTTATTTGAAACCTTTTTCTAACTAGTTACATCGAAACATTTTTTAATATAATCGTAACAGTTTAAGAAATATCTCAGCGTCCAGTGTTACGTAAGTCAGCCTATATAAAAGCAAGCAGTCGTAGTTTACTAGTGTGACTATTACGCGTTATTTATATCTGAGTCAGCTGGACGTGCGGTCATACATACATACGTGCACTCTCATACAGAAACATATGTCGATGACGTGCTCCAGCCTAAAAACTCTAATTGCTTGTATCTCTAAAATGAATCCTCAGATTGCACTATGATAAACTGACATATTGAATTATATTGTAACGACTATCAATCCTGAAATAGGCCCCCATTTTCGTTAACATTCTGTCTACAATAATGACGAAATTGCATTCGAGACTTTTTTCATGCCTGAGACGTAAACAATGGTCGTAACCGTTTAAACAAAACTGAGAAGAAAATAATGTTAATGAATACGATTGTAAAATAGTTTATGACAATCTTATATGGAGTATTTATACCATTCTTTGCACTCTATTGCGCAATACAGTTTCATAATAGATAAATATTTAGACCAGGTTGGCTTTATTACAGCCACATTGTCGATGGCAAAGGCATAAACGAGACTGGTATAAATTAATTATCAACACGTCGCCTCATAAGCGCGTGATATGCGCTTCAAAAAATTTTTTCCTCGAAGAAGGTACTTTGGGTAAACCATTTCAATAAATTCGCAGATACCAAAAAACGGAAATGCACATTCCTCCCATATAATTTATAACGTTCATCTTAATATGGAATAAAATCAAAAATTCATTTTTCAAAGGAAATCAAGAATATCAATTTGTTGATTGAGGCTTTGGTAAAAAGTTACTAAAAAATTTCAGATCATTCACGGAAAAATTATATTCTGTTTCACGGGTCAATTGCAAGCATTTTTGGTGAATAGACACACCCCTGAAATCCTGCGCACTTTCGAGTAAAAAATTCGAGTAGGTGGGCAAAGTCGACAAAATTAAAAAATTTCAAATCGTTCTGGAAAAAATATTGTCGATTGTGGGGGTCAATTACAAGCATTTTTGGTGAATAGACATACCCCCGAAATCCTGCCCACTTTCGAGAAAAAAATTCGAGTAGGTGATCAAAGTTGACAAAATTAAAAAATTTCAAATCGTTCTGGAAAAAATATTGTCGATTGTGGGGGTCAATTACAATTATTTTTTGTGAATAGACATAACCCCGAAATATTACTCAGTTTCGAGGAAAAAATTCGAGTAGGTGATCAAAGTTGACAAAATTAAAAAATTTCAAATCGTTCTGGAAAAAATATTGTCGATTGTGGGGGTCAATTACAATCATTTTTGGTGAATAGACATACCCCCGAAATATTACTCAGTTTCGAGAAAAAAATTCTTTACTGAAAATATACTGTGTGGTCGGAAATGTTTCTATACCTTTTTAACGAAGCCTCAATTTTCGTCTTATTTTGGCCTCTAGAATCTCGCATTGAAATCTGTCCATTATAATATATTATGCAAGGTGTTCGTTTGAAAAATTATGGTCGAAATATTTAGGAAACAATATACATATATTCCAGAGAAACGTTTGATACGAAAGTCTTCACTATCCAATTTTTCTATCGAACGCGTCTAATCTGTTTTTGTGTCTTTTGAGTTATTCTTGAAATCCCGAAATTACATAAAGAATGTCTGGTCTGTTCGTAAAAAAACAGCTCTGGTTAATGAGACAGAAAAGTGTTTAATTTTTGACCTGAGGGTTCAATTGCTAATTTGTTAATAAATACATGGTTACTGTAACTCTTGAATTTAACTTACCAAATTCTTTCGATGCAGAGCGAGTTTCTTTCATGGGCGAAGCGATACTCGTAGTTTTGAGTCTCGAAAGATAGTCCATTTCATTTTCACCATTTTGTTCCGAGTTCTGACAATATGGAACCTCCCACGTGTGGAATGTCGTGGTGATTTGACGATCTTGAGTCTTTTCACAATTACAATCACCAGATTCCTCCATAAAGTTCAAACAATCCTTTTTACTTGACTGTTTAATTACTCCATTTTCATTAACGTTGACATTTCGGTGAGAATAATGCCCCGTTCTTATTGCAAGAAAGAGAACGTATACGATTTTATTATAATATTACTATTTTGGCCAGAAAACACCACGTATCATACTATTTTAATTATCTAATTAGTAATGCATAATTATAATAATTATTTAATATTTATATAACATTTCATAACGCTGTTATAATGAATTAGCAAGAGATAAAAATTAGTTTTATTATAATTTTACAAAGGAGAATATTTTAGCATTTCTATACAGGGTGTTCGCGTCATTACTAACCGACATTTTTTTTTTGTAAATGGTAACTATATTAAAAAACGAAAGAGGACAAAGTTTTGTCGTTTTTTATAACCAACGTAATAGTATATATCAATTTTTTATATTTGAGATAGAAGTGGCAGCCATTATATATTTCTAAGATCTTCCAAAATTATTATTACTTTATTAGTAGACTCTCGATGAAACTAACATTTCTCCAATAATTGAGAAGTATAATTTTCAATCGACGATTCAAAAATTGAAATATTTTTGTACCTGTTGGTTCGATTATTTTCGTTCGTGTCGGGTGGTTCAAGTTGTACGTTGTAAGGTGGAGTGAAATTAGTATCGTTCGAGGCATGAACCGACGTTGATATATTACAGAGATTTGATAAGTTATTCCATAGCCATCTGTGATTCCACGAAGACTCTATATTTCCAGAAAAACAAGAACTCTGAAAATTCATCTGAAAGTAAGGCAATGTTGGCGACACTGAAGGCAATTCGAAGACATTTTCACAAAATCGTTCATCACTCGTCGAAGCTAAATCTTCGGGCCAACTCATTCTATCTGGAACGAAAGAAATTGCACGTCACTCTAGTTCGTCGTAAAGAAATTACGAAATAAATCATAATTGTAGTATCAATAAATTTGTATTCAATTATTAAGGAAAAAAAATAGTAATGCAAAGTGAATGAAGTACTAATGTTATATTCTGTTCCATAACTCATTGTTATAGCTAAAATTTTTACAGAAAATTATGAACATTGTTATGCAAAGCTCGAAAATTTTATTAAAAAAAGAAACGACAACATAATCCTTACCTTATTCGATATCAATAGATCCAGTTGTAAAAAATGTCAAAAACTTGAAAACCAATGTATCTGATGTTAGAAAACTTGGAATATCTTTAGAATAATTATATAAAATTCTAAAGAATATCACGGCTAAGTACAGAAGAGACTGAAGTATCGATTCACTGTTTTTAACAACCGAACGAAAGGGTTTATTAAATTAGAGTAAAATCTACGATGGAATTACTGTAATATCGCGTGCTAGTTGTGAGTCGTGTAAGCACTAACTCTGAAATGTCAATCGAGTATGTATTCATAAGAGGACTGCGATAGGCTGATGGCAGTCAGGGTAGATGCGACCGAAGAACAGGCGAGTGTGGGAGTTGAACTGAAACTTGAACTTAATTACGTATCTTTTTATTTGCCCCGAGGCAGTAGAATATAGGTAATGATTAGACTGCTGATCTTTATGCAAATTCACATTTTTATTAATAGAATTAATGAAACGGAAGCTTCGCAGAGGGCTGTCTCAACCCCTAAATATAATAATTCCTATCTCACTTTAAGTATTTCTTATATTTTTGCATATTAACACTAGATTTACGTGCATTGATCACACGTATATCTATTGATACCTTTCATGTTGACGATTACCTTACAATATGATTTTTCTTTTAATTAGAATATGTATTCGTGCCAGTGCATTAATCAAATTCAACATAAGTTGTTAAAAAATAATATTTACGCGTTCTGCAATTTTAAATATGGAATCAGACACCCGTCAAATTGACGGTTTTCGTAAATCTTGTGTTAAATGCATTCTGTAGTTTTTTCAGGATTAAAATTTCCCATAAATGCATAAACATGATGATCTACTAATGATGATTACATCAAGAAATTTCAATTCAGAAATTTCCGGTTCCTTGTGCGTCAGGTATAATTGTTCGTACAGAGTTGCTTTTTTTACCAGACACCTGGACCTGTAAATATCGTTTAGAAGATTCCATGCTTCGTTAAAGATCATTGCTCTCTTCATCTGGCTTTACTGATTCTTCGAAATACTCAAAAGTATCAAAGCCAACGATTTCGAGTCTCTCTTGGTCGTCGTTGCATGATTCACCTCCATTTTCACTTCGTTTCCATCGTCGTAGTCCCACAAGTCATTAACAAAGAGCACACTCCTTATGCTAAATCGCCACGTTTCATAATTTTCGTCTGTTCTTCTATGTTACATATGCCACTCACGACATTGTTTCTTAATTTTTATTATTGTACACAGTGCAAGTACTTTTCACGTAAGACCTGGGCTCGTAACCTGACGATTTTAATGCTAATTATACGATATATTCTTATTCTAATTGTATCACCAGCGCTCGTTACACACACTGTTATTGTCCACCCTCTCGAACGCGAAATGCAAGAAATAGAAATGATTCTGATTGACTGACGATTGACTTTTTGCACCAGCATACAAAACACGACATTGTAAATTAAAAACACATATAAATTTCACATCTCACGAGCCCACACACAGTCCACCATTTAAAACACTCGAATATCACGAAGACGTGTAGGAAGAGTACTAATAGCCATGCAGAAACATTGCACACGAGTGTCCAACAGTGTCTCTAAAAATAATAATTTATACTTCAAATCGATGAGACTGTAATTGCAAAGACAGTTTTACTTCAGCTTACTTGCTACAAATGGAATACAAAATAACATGTTCTTTATATAAATTCTTAGTTTGTAGCTGGATCGCCTGCATACCAATTTATGCATTTCTTTTTTCTCGGAGCACGCTTCACTTTACAATGCACATTCAGGGGCTTTGCGATCATTTATTATTAGACGTGGGCCACTCTTTTCACGCGATTATCAATAATTCAACTGAGAAAGGTTTTAATTGCCATAGAACGAGTACCTTTGACATGACAGAGCATGGAAGAAATTGTTGGAAGAAATGGCGAACCAACGTGGAGAGACGTTCGAAGGGTGGAATGTTCTTCAGTAATTGTCGAACAATTTAGATAGTACGATATTCAGTCTTAACAAATATCTATGCACGATGGCTTATAACGGACGAATAAAATGAGAAATAATAATTAAATTAGGAAAATAAATACCTTTGGATAAAATTATAAAATACTTCATTCAACTATTACTAATTACATATAAACGTACGTACTTGATAAAAAAGAAAAATGTGTTCTTAGAAAAACATTATTCGGTAACAGGGTGTTTTGAAATTCACGTAGGACAGAATTATGCAACACTGCTGTTTATCTGTTTATTATATTATTAAAAAGTTATTGTGTCAAATTATATCTACACGTATTGTGTAATAGAAGTAAAAGTAGGAGAGATTGAGCTGTAACATTTTGGATTTAGAATAGAAATACATGAAAACTATTGCACTTACAGCGTCAATTCTTGTTCGAATATGTTACCTACTTATCTGAGATTATTGACTTGCAACTGTTTTGTTATATGTTGGATAATTGGGTATGATTTCCGCTTTTATTACAGATTTTACAATAGAATTTTCTTTTCCTTCGGTAAAAATTTTGTTCCAAGCCATGAATCTCATTATTACAGATGTATTAGTACCTCCTTCAATTTTCAGTCCTTTTTTTATAAAAAAAAATTGTCTCGACAAAGATACATGATATAAATCATATTTTTTTTTCAGTGTAGCGGTTTAAATAGATAACTGATCTTTATCTATATCATTATACATATGTATGTGCATTTTAATATAATTTTATTTCGTTCCTTTATCGAATTTTCTAAAGAATTTTAGCTTAGATAGCATTCTACCTAGCATCATAGACGAACGTGTTCCAAATGTCATTTTACTTATATTTATTATATATTTTGAAATATTTACAGTATCGCAACAGTCATCTGTCTCCCTTCAGCCAGAAATTATATCTACGTTAAATGCAGTTAGGCGAACCACATCGTTTGCTTTCGCTTCTCACTTCTAATTTCTCCTCGAACGATATAATCAGCTTAAACACTTCATGATTGAAATTGTTGTCAGAAGCAACAATGGACTTTGAAAACTTAAATCGTCTGAATGGCTTAGTAAACGTATTCTCAGCGAATATGCTACCACTAACGAACAAGAAAACAAACATGCCTACTTACCTACGAGTCTATTCGATCGTAGTTTGGACGATAGAATTGACGTATTTGACTATTTGCATTCTCGGTCTTTTCTACGTGCCTAAAGAGAGGGCATTGCAAGACAGTACAGTGAATATAGTAGTCACTTTAGAGGTATTTCTGATGACTATTTATTTAAGTAATCGCAAAACAATGTTACGGAGATTTATCGAGAAGATGAACGATACTCTTGCCATAGACAACGAGACGCTGAAATTTATCACGATCCAGACACTGAAACCGTTGGAGAGGCCGCTGAAAGTGTATACGATCGCTAGTATTGGTACAGTTGTTATATGGACGGCGTTACCACTCGTCCAGATATTCAAAAAAACTGAATTCTATTACGTGGACTATGGAGTACCAGCCGTTTTATCGAAGGAACCATACTCAGTGAATATTTTTATCGGTGGTGTTGTCCTCGAGTGTTTTGGCGCCATGTTCGCGATCGCTCGAAAAGTCAGCCTGGACATTTACACTATGCATTTGATTCTTTTAATGACGGCGCAATACAGATATTTAAGGTTTCAATTTCAGGCAGTTCTTGAAAACAAACTCGAAAGTTTAAAAGATTCGAATAACGATGCTAATCGAAGGAATGTTTCGTGCAGGGGTAAAAGCTCGATTAAACAGGAATTGAGACTGCTGACGTACCACCATGGAATAGTCGTCGAGTTAGTATGGACTTGCAGTTAATGCAAATACTTAATATTATATTAAAATAATTCAATTTTTGTAAGTGGAGCATCTTAAGAAATCTCAAAAATAAATATATTAAATTATGGACTTTTTAGAGCTTGCATTTTTAAAACTAATCATAAACTATTAATGTGGACAGTATAGGTTTAGACGTGCACGTTCTTTTTTAAGTATGAGTATTTAGAAAAGGGAGTGTGTATGGTCAACTTTTAAAATAAACTTTTTAACATTCGGTGCATCTACTTAAAATTAAACATTCAAAAATGGGGTAAGGGATTACTATCTACAAAATAATTATATCTTTCTTTTATTAAAAACATACCAAAACGAGAATAATGTAGCTCGACTGAGGTTTCTATTCCATTCCGACCAATTTTGTTTATTAACGTGACCATTCTTTCAAACAAAAGAATAACAATGAACTGTTTTTTGTTTTATGTAGAATGTACGGGGAATAGCGAAGAAAAATCCCTAGAATATATGTGTATATATTTATTATAGGATGGCCGTTATATTGAAGAGTTTACTTTCCCCAAATGTTGGAATTCTGTACATAGATAACATTTTTCGACTCTGCTTTTTAAGTTTTATGATCATAACGGTACACTACGTATTGTAACTTTGCGATTTGAAATTTGGTTTCGAAATGAATTCTGTTTGTTCACGGAGTGTTATTTTCTTTCAGATAAACTCAGTACATTTTGAAACGTGTTTAATTGCATTATACGCAGTCGGTGCGGTGATACAACTTTATATATTGTGTTTTTATATTCAACAATTGCTCGAGGCGGTAAGGATTCCCACGTGATACTGGGAAATGATAATAAATATAATAAATTTGTTTTTATTGTTTTTATTGTCATAGAAATGGAAAATTGATATAAATCTTAGGTAGCGTTTGATTAAAAGGTTTTGCAAAGGAATGATATGATAGGAATGCATAATAAAATAACAGGAAATAAACTAATTTTGTAAGATGCATGTTTATTGTACAAAAGAAAGTTTATAATTCTTGGATTTAGTTAAATATAACATTTCGTATAAAATAAATTCATTTCATTGATAATTCTTCGCTAATTTTACACTTTTCTGAGTCTGATTATCGCCTCTCGTCTTGTTTTCAAATTCCATTCGTTTCGATTTACAATTTTTATGTAGAAAAGTATTTAGTGATCATACTTTTACATTTTTTTTTTGTACCTTTTAATATCATGTAAAGAAACTATATTGAACAATTCTATGAATTTTACTAACGGTTGAAACTTTCGACTTCTCTTTAATTAAATTAGAGTACGACAGTCATGGATGATGCATTTCATACCAAATGGTATGTTCATGGTGTCCCCTTAAAACGCGTAGTTGCGATCATGACAATGGCTAGTAAACTAGAATGCAGATTATCGATCTTCCGAAGTATCGATTTGACACTACCATCTTTTATGTCGGTAAGGCTTTATTCGATCCAACGATCACGTAACTATTATACTATATGCATATATATAATTTTTTAGATCTTAAATCAAGCGTATTCTGTCTGTCTGTTATTTTTAAAATCGAGACAAAATTAACATATGATAAACTACAATGAAATGTAATTAAATTTGACGTCGTAATGTTTCACCTTAACTAAATATACTATACAGATTGTTATATTTCTGATAATATAAAATGGGTTACAAAAGAGATGACCTCGCAGATTTTAACGAACACAATGGCTTAAACAATTGTTAAAAGTAGTAAATATAAAATCTGAAAGAATAAAAAATGGTACATGAACAGGAAAAAAAATGGAACAAAATATTCATATTTTCTACTATTTTATTTAAACATACAACTCACCAAGGACGATTCGCTTCTGTTCTTCCTCGTTCGAATTCCACATACATTATAAAAAATCTTGAAAATATACGATTTAAAAAAACAAACTACCACGTACCCTTTAATTCAGGGTCATCTTGTTTCTTTTACCATAAGCTTATATTTTTTATTCCAGAATCATATTTTACGTAAAAGAATGCACAACTTTTGTTTGAATCATTTGGTAATTATTTACTTTAGGGAGACCACAATCCCATTTTTGGTGATTGTAAAATATATTATAAAAATAAGATTCTGAATAACTTTTTCCTATACATACATATGTATATTTTTTCCATTACTATCGAATTTAAGTAAATCGTATAACGAATGAAAAGATGCTAAAAGCTTTAAATCTATTTTTTTCCATACATACAATTAAATATTAATGGAACAGTAGTATGAAGTGGTAACAGTGGTAATAAAAAGATAAAATATATTTTTTGATTCAAGAATCTCTTATTCATCAAACATACATCTGACAGTGTATTTTATATTAGGGACTTGCTCAAGTAAGAACATAAATTAATTATTTAATCGATTTTACTTTACTGTTTTCTGTCTTTAAATTCAACACTTGTAATTCTCTGATAGATATAATCCTCTCATGTTTTCAACTTATTACATACCTTAAACTACATAGAGAAACATTTTGTACTTATAATAACATTACATAGTAAACACACTAAAATATTTAAAAAAAAAACAACAACAGATTCTCAGGTTTGTACTTTGGAATTAAAAACATCTTACCTTTCTCATAATGTTGCGATTTTGAAGTCATAGAGCAGACTCGTATGTCTATTTTTAACATTTTTTTACTCTTTGTTCTTTAAGAAAAATTTGCATCGATCCAATTTGTTAATTCGTTCTGCCATGATTTTCGAGCAGAGTCAGATCTCTTTGTAATTTTCTGTATTTCGTAGATGCTTTCCTCAGAAGAATCCAGCTGAGCAAGTAAAACGAACAAAAAAAGAAACAAAAAAAAAGTATCGCAGAAAACTAGACTCGTTCGAAACGATAATAATTCGCGGGCACGTAAATCGCAGCGTTGGAAGAAATAGAATCAATAAATACGTTCTCACCTACGTTATGTGAATGTATAAATAGAGTTTCTAATAAGCTTCAGAGACTCCGCTAATATCATATACACTTCGAAAAGAACCTATAAATCATGGATATGTGCTATAACATAGTGTCACACTTCAAACGACAAAGCATTTCTATCGACTGTCACGATCCTATCGAATAGTTCCAGTGCAAGTTTCACCTTTTCATTGCCACGGGCAATTTGCTTAAAACAATCCACTACTGTAACACATTAATCACGGTACTGTGCGCTCGGTATTATACACGCGATGAATTTACCAATATACACGTATGCAAGTATGAAAACTGGGTAATCATGTACTTTAATGACGCCATCGTCGATTTCAATCGCCCAAAAGTATGTTAAAGAAGGTTCTGTCATCGGATTAGAATTATTAGAAATTATTTATCGTTCTGGAAACAAATTTCAGAATAGTTTGGACTGATTTCGTTCCGTTTGAAAGATCTTAACGACGAATAAAGAATTTTAATTATTTCCTTCTCTCTGTTTCTTATTTGTGAATTCGTGATAGAGTAATTAAGTCTTTCACGTTAACATACATTTGTTTTTCAGGTTCAAAGTTATTCCCAACGATTCTTGAAACTGTGGTTATCGAAACAGAATAATACAAATTTTATATGTCTTTTTTTATCGTTGTAAAACTGCTTTAATGAAATGCATGAGATACCAAACACGAACGTAGAATAGATTAGAATATATTAAGTTATTCTTTCTCGATATAGATATAGTCTTGTGAGCTTCACCTACCTGTTCTCCAGGTAAGAAAATACTTTGCAATTAAGATTTGTGATAATTTTGAAAACTCACGCCAAACGATTCTTTGAACCAGAATATTTAACGACCTTCTTCCTTTAACATACTTTTCACGATCGTTGAAATCGATGCTGTTATCGTAAAAGTATATAATTATCAAAAAGTATACTCGCGTTTGTTGCCAATTAGCACTGGTTGTTTTCTGGAGAAAATTTGATAGTTCCTACTTGAAGGATACGCAAAGAATTTGGCTCGTTTATAGATATTATCCGGCTTATGTAAAAATTGCAAAACACAAGCTTTTTTCCTTTTTAAATTCTATTCTGTTTCAGTGCTCTGATACATTTGCTACATAATACGACCCCAGCAACGGTGCTATAACCAGACCTGGGTAAAAATATGCTCGTCAAATAGTAAATAGGTTGTTTTGTTTATATGAAATTTTAAGTATTCTCGAATGTTTGAAAGTTGAAAAGGAAATACTTTTATTCGACACTTTGAAAGCGTAAATTAAAATGAAACAACTTCGTGTCATTGTTTTGGCCGTTAAAATGAAAATATTTTATTTAGTTTACATGTTATATATTTGAAAAGCTACTTTATCCGCATTCACTGTTTAAAATAGTGTTTCAAATACCGTCGCGTCGATTTTACCCAGCTCAGGCTGTAACGGACCGAAGTGCGTTTGACAGTCACTATTTGAAATTTGATCTATCGATTGTTTCATTAGATTGTTTGCCGCGGTAAAGAGAATCGATCTACGGGGTCGACGTACTGTGTGAAGTTGTCGCCAATAGCTGTCCGGCAAATTATTTTGATTTTCACATTTTGAGTGTTTCTCGTCTTAAAATCTCCTTCTTTTTTTTTACCATCTCGTAACGAGTAAAGCTATGACCGTTTGTAATAATCTTCATTTTTTTCTTTTTTACCCATTTCCTCTGCCTTCGACTATTGGCCCACGGCAAGCACAGTGTTCTTATTATTTTTTTTTGTTTACGCTTATAAAATTGCCTGCATCCCAGTCCCATGTTTTTTTATTCTATACTTCAAAATCGCCATTCTTTCGTCCCCATAATAATATCGTGAAAAATAATATGTACGTTCCGCAAGATGATCGCTCGCGTTACTAAAATCCCGAATCGAACGAAAAAAAACCATTTTCGATTCGTTAATTCCTTTTGTTCGGCTAGATTTTGTAACACGACAACGGTAAGGTTAGGATCGCACCAGGCATTTTGCTTTTTTTTTTTTTTTTTTTTTTTTTGTCGCAACTGTTTGCAAAAATTAAATGCAACGCTAAATGCAACTCGACGCAATCTTGCGGAAGCGTTTACTATCGCGGTATAATTAATCATCGATCGATCGATATCATAATATCGAACAGGTTCCAATGTTTGATTCGATTTATTCTGATTCACGTTACCAGGTTTTCTCGACTGTATTTTAAATATCTCTTTTTTCTTTTTCTCTCGAAATCTATACTGTCAAACGTTCGGTAGTTTGCGTATTGTTCTTGTAATTTTGTTTTTGATGCACGACTAGTTTGTGCCGCGTGTCAACAAACGGGATAAATAAATCTTCCATAACGTTGCATCGCCGTCACAATATTTCGTGTTGCCTCGCGGTCGTTCACGTTCAAACGCACGCCTTGGAGCGATCCCAAGTCCTTGTACGGTACTTCTCGTACCAACAACATATAAAACATGAACGTGATTGCCTGGTTTGAATTACGAAGAATGAACGTGATACGCATTGTCGCATATTATAATATATCCGTATTATTTTACGACCAGTCCGGCGATTCGTTTACCCTTCCCATCGAATCTTCTAAACAGTGACAACGATTACGGTTAAAATTCATATTGTTAATGTGTCGATTTCGTAATATGTCACTGCCAGAGAGCTCCCGACGACAATGATACGTTACAATCGGGTTACATGTATTATATCTGCGGTTACGACGCATATAATTTCGATAAAATCGAATCTCAGTTTAAAACTCGGGAATCATTCAGCGCGGTACTTCATTATTCACGATAAGAATACGTATATACAATTAATCAGCATAATTGGTTTATGTCAGTCATTGTTGAGCAGGACGTTATACTGATCCGACATTGTGCTATACTCAGGCACGTCCACGGGTGGAGCTCCTTAACGCGTCTCGTTCCCTTTTCACGCGTCGATTTATAATTACCGAATGAACGAATCAACAAATTCGCACAGATACAACAAAAGACGATACGCTAATTATCGCTAACAATAAGACGTGTTCGCGTCGGGCAAAATTCTCATATATATCGTACAAATTTTTAACAACAAACAGAAGACAAACGAGCGTTTCAAAACGTCAACGATCATAGAATGGAAATATTTCGGCAACAAACAGTTCGATCGAATAAACGTCGAAAATAAATTACTGGTACGTTGGTCTTATTGGTTTGTTCCTTTAGAGATCTTGCCCGTTTCTGGCTGGCGCGTGGGTTACAGAAATAGAGAAAAAGTGCCTAAAGCTCTGGAGCATAAGTTTGGACATGCCTGTGCTATACGAACGAATCTGAGAATGAGCAAAATCAAAGGCGTGCGTATACAGCGTAAAAGTGATGGTAAAATTAGCACAACATTTTCACGCAATAGTTGCACTATTACACGCATTGATCGTTTTGGTTTTTTTTTTTTTCTTTCGCCTCGTGTTGTTTTTTTTTTGTCTATCGCCTCTTCGATTGAATCTTCACGATCGAACTAGCAACGAATCGGGTGGTAAATCAACAACGAAAATGTAACATCGAAAGAATCGCTCGGTAATTGTTTCTATAATTATGCGCGAAACGAAAGCTAACATGCTCTGGAAGAGGGAGGGAGGGAGGGAGGGAGGGAGAGGAACGAAATGGATCCTCGTAGAGATCCGTCGTAAAAAAAGACACGCTTGACGCGGAAGATCTCGCTTCGATGTGTGGAGTTGGCGGGATTTTTTGTTTACAACCGATACAATAAACAAAGCACGCATGGATAAATGAAAATCTGTTTCCTTCTCTTCCTCCGTCGTACTTTTTTTTGCTCCTCGATAGTTGCAACTTACTTTTTTTAAAATTTTTCTATTTTTTTTTTTGTTTCCCCCCAAGGGTATCGACAACGCTTGCAAATACACTTGTTCGGAAATAAAGTTCTATACTCTGTGCCAGTGAATCGCTCTCGTTCGATCCACCTGTTCAGTCCATTAATTTTTTTTCTTTTTTTTTTCATCCAACTTATATACTTCACATTGAACAATATCCTCAGTCTCGACTGATCAGTGAGCAATACGAGAGATCCGGGCTTAAACGAGACCTCGAAAAGTCCAAGAGAGAGTAACGTGAGTTTTCTTCATTTATTTTTTTTTTTTTTCTCCTTTTGGCTCGCGTGACGCTACTGCTCGATCGAAAATTAATCTCTACATGTACCTTTCGTGATAATGAGGTTCATAATACTGGCTAATCGTACACTCGAGATCGTCGTTCGCGATCATTGTTTTCGATTCCGTTCCTGATTTTTTCTTTTTTTCCCATTTTTTTTCTTTTGTTTCTTTTCGCATCAAGTCAATGTTAATCTTTTAAATGTGAAAAGTGCTTTAACATTAACTTGTTGCACCGTAGACTGAGGATTTTTTATACAGAGGAATCATTGTTGCATTAACGTTTTACTTGTTAATTATATTAAGTATATTATTTATAAATTTATTCGCATGTAGTTCGTTAACAGGCCGTGGCTATACAGGGCCCACTACATTGATTTTCATCCAGTGGCGCGCGGTCTTCCAAATATGTCAATGGGTGTGTATGAATGTGTGTGTATGTAATATGTATGTGCTCGCATATAAGAGTTTGTTTCTTATATCATTTTCGTCGTATTTCATTTTGTATATGTTTTTTTTTATATATATATTCGTCAACTACTTCCTACCGTACCGAGCGTTGTTGTTTCGTTGCGCTTTCCTTGGTCTTTGTGATGATCGAACTTCAAGCACGGATTATTAAGAAAAGTCTTACGTCGAAGCTGCACGTTGTTTTCGTTAAACAAACGCACAGTATTTAAACGAACCATGCTCCTCGTATCGATGAATATACGACGTCGACGTTATACGATTCGATGTTTCAATTATCGACAATCATTCATTACTCTATAGACAAAAAATTAACTTTTCAAAAACTCGTTACTGTTATTCGTATGCAACAGTGGTGGCCATGGCTTACGAGCTTCTATGGCGTGGTTCTTGAAGTTCAAAAATCACTTTTTCAATATTATATTACTTCGACAAAATGTCCGATAGAAAATCCGATGAAATTGTTTTCTCATCAATTTTTACCTACTTGGATGTTCGAGCTCTCTGCAAATTACAGTTCGTGAATGTAATTTTTGGAAATTAGTCACCTTGGCCATCTCTGGTACATTGTGTACGAAAAATGAGTTTCTTTGTTCGATAATTGTACTATTAATTTAATAAATACTTATTCCAATGACATCGACGTTAATATTCTAAGAGAAAATATTTTAAACAATTTAAAGAGAACTGGAATCAATTTTTTCTAACGTGATGTAATCAGATAAATTTGTCAATAATTTAAAAAAATTATTATGTTAATAATTTGTATATGATGTACCAAACAAAATTGATTTTCATAATCTGGTATAGAAATCACAAAAATACTTATTAGATTAAATGTAAATACATAGAAGCGTATATTTCTGAATTATTGTTCTCCGTTAAATGGTTCTAGTATGTTACGGAAATTTGTCTGTTCCCTTTTGTTTTGCGCCACCGATTACACTGGTCGATAAATTGCAAACAATAGTTTGTATTCTTTATGGTTATGCTATGTTCCTATTTATTTCTTTATAATGAGATCGAAAATAAGAGCAAAGAATTATTTGGCTCTGGTTTGAGAAACACAAGGCATGATTCATTTAATTCAAGTAGATTAAAATATTTTTCTTTAGTTTGTTACGTGGAACACGACATTAAAACTGATGAAATTGTTATCTCTTCGTTAATTAAAATAACGAAGCTGAAAATACTACGTTTAAGTCTCCTTAGTGTCGTTTACGTTTAGTTCCAACAATAGATTGCTTAAGTTGCATATCAGACAAAAGGCTATCGAATATAAAACGTAAAAATCGGCAAAAAGTTGTTACAAAATTTTCATTTTTAGTTCGCGTTTAACCAGAGCCGAATATCTTAATTTAACTGGAATTAATTGGTTAGAGGAACAATGACCAGTGTAATCGATATCGAAAGATAACCGATGCAAGGGAGCAAGGTTCGGTAAATAGGAGCGACAAGACCTCGAAGTTGGATTCGCCCCGGAGCGATTTCGCGCGTGTCCATCCTGGCGTCTCGATCCGTATCGGCAAACTTTGTTTATTTATGCGAGTCGATATGTTCCTCCTTTTGGAAAAGATAGTTGGACCAATAGCCAAGATTGAACAGTATAAAGGTGAGCGGGAAAGCGATGCGCGAGAAGAAATCGATTCTCGCGCTGCCTTTCGCTCGACAGGTGAACCATCTGCGTGGCAACAGACCCAAACAGCACCTCTCGGTACGCGAGAACGGTAATCGTTGAAAATTACGAAAATCATTGGTGGATATTATTGGAACGGTCGTCGCAGGGGGCGAGGGTGTCGCTCTGCGCGATGTTGCGGGTGACGGTGAGGGCGGTGGCGAGGGCGATGGCGACGATTTCGCTGAGCTTCTGTGAGAATGGCGTGCGCTTCTCGGCGAACACCGACCGTTACCCTCCGCGTTGTGCAATGATGAAAAAGACGCTGATCGCGGCTGACCTTGGTGCGGTTGGTACCGCTGATGTCGATGACGTTGCGACGGTAACGGTTGATGCTGCTGCGGCGGCTGCTGCTGTTGCTGCTGCTGTTGCTGCTGCTGCTGCTGCTGCTGCTGCAGCTCGTTGTGTTGGTGATAGTGATGATCGTGTCTATAATGATAGTGTTGATGACGAGGGCGTGAACGATGTGATCTGGTGTGGTAATGATGGGGATGGCCGCGTGCCACGTTCCTTGATCCGAGCGCTTCCTCATCCACATTTACTCGTTCTCCTCTTCCTTCCGAATCAGGTACGCGGACCAGTACGCGAGATTGAAGAACGCGAAGACGATGGGGAAGAAGATCCGTGAGATGACATCGATGCGCTTGGACCTCGTCGGGAACTTGGACAGCCACGACCTGCAGCAGTTTTTTTTTCGTGGTTGCATATGTAATTCGCAGTGCTGCATCCTATCCATCGACATGGTATCCTCCGGCTGTCGGACCAGAGGTTTCTGAAAAAATGAGTACGATAGTGATCTGTTAGACGCGCGATCGTACCTTTCTTCTGTTACTCTTTCGTTGTTCGTAGAAGAGAAAAAAGGAGATCGTTTCTTAAGATTATGGCACAGTGACTCACAGATCTGATCGCACGCTCTGGGATACCGACTTTGGTTTCATTGAATTCGAAAAGTCTGTATCCGGTACTAAGGAGGCATATAGTACACCTAAAAGGAGTCAAAAGGCGGTCCAATCTTTTTCCACTAAAGAGCTACTCGACGGCTCGTTTGTTAGAAAATTTTTAGAAACACGGTATTGTTTTCAGCGTAGTGGCTCGTAGCACCAGATGTATCTTCCACGATATTTGACTAAAATAAACAAACGAGAGGAAAGCAGTAAGAGGAAGAACTTAGGAATATCTGTTATAGCTTGTTGTCGAACAATACAGCGTAAGCGTCCATCGATATTCCTTGAAAAGTAAGATCTAGAAAAACAGACGTTAGAACCGATAAGAAGATGTACCACGCATTTTTAGGCGGATAGAGTTAAAATCGCAGTTGACATTCATGCAGTAATTTTTCCAAAATCTTAATAAGCGATTAAGTGTCAAAGTTGTTCAATGTCGTTTAAATGAATTTTCGAATGAAATAGACGAACTGAAATTGATATTTACAGATGAATTTAAGTATTGGAAATGAATGTTGGAAATGAGTATCTTATGTTTATGAATTTTTTCTTAAAACTATTTTTAAGATGGATTAAACTTTTGTTGATGTTGCAAGGAGACACTTTTATGGCTAGTCTTTTTATTATTTATTTTGTTAACTTTTCGATGATGTAATACCTGTTTGCATTTTTTGTAATACCTTTTATACTCATTGGACCGATGTGACAACGGAATGAACAATTCTCTTAAAATTAGGTAGTTTACGCTGGTATCGAGCCTGTTTTTAACACGAAAAAATGCAAAACAAGTTAATTTTATGTCGATTGAAAGATATATTATAAATAAAAACTAAAATTTAAATTTTATATTCAGTCCCTGGGGAAGACTATATATAACGAATATTGTGTGGAGTGAAATATTGATAAATAGTATTGGCTCGATTCACCATAGAATTATGGACCAATTTGTCTATTTAAATATTGCGTGGGAAGTATTGCTGTCATATGCAGAAACCTGTATGTCAAATGATTGAATCTGCCAGAAAAATAATAATCCAAAGTGTATTACACGCGTTGTCAATACATTTTTATCAGGAAAAATATATTAAACATAGACAACCAAAAAATGTAGAAGAATTGAACAACTTTGTGCAAGAAGCATGGAAATCAGTAACAATAGAGAAGTGTAGAAGATTAATTGACTCTATTTCGCAGAGATTGTCGATGTGTTACGGCAAAATATTAAAAATAAGAATACTAATAAAAATAAATAAGATTTAGAAATGTACGCAAGTAAATGTCCACTACAAAAATCACTACTTTATATAAAGTATAAAAACATGATTTGAAATCTTGCAATAAACGAAAACTTTTTCGTTAGATAATTTAGTTTTGGCAACTATGCTCTGTACCTTAAATGAACATACAATGAACAAAAAAATGTTTCATGCAATGTTATAATATAGTTTCTAGTTTATAAAAATGCAAAAAGTTTATGTCTATTATACATGCTATTTCTTTTAAGGAGGTATTCTACTCCTTTCTTCTAATTTTTTTAGTGGTACTTTGGAATTGGGGGAAACGGTAAAATATTTTCCTCATGAGAATAATTCTGAATAATTCAATTTCAAAGTTATTCGGTATAGACAGTTATTAAAATTGTATAATTGAAAAGAAAACGAAAATATTTCTATAAGAAAATTGCGTAATATAGGGTAGAATAATTATTGAATTTAAAAACATGTTTCTGAGAAAACGAATAATTGATCGATGAACAGATTATTAACGAAACGTACTAGATTTTTTTTTTGTTACCTGATTCCGGGTTTCTAATGCCAAAACATAGTAAAGGGCTTAGGATTTGTGATACTCGCTAGCCGCTACCTGAATGAATACAATACGACTTCGGTTTACAGTTTTTAGAGGACATTGATACAATATCAATATATTACAAAAGAAACAATTTTTGTTATCCTCCTAGGTGTATATGCCCCCTTACGTATGCGTCTAAATTAACCTCTTCGGACCTGGAATTTAGATGCAGCCTTCGGTCAAGTTTTACTAATTCATAATTCTTTAAAAGTATGTATACTGTACAATATATTAGAATAAATCATTGCATAACTTTAAAAGTATATACGTATACATAACACACATGTGCGAACATATAATACTGCATCACAAAATCATTGACTTTAAAATATCATGCATACATGTTATTGTCGGGTATGAAAAGGATAATAAATATTAGATACAGAATTCGATATATTTAACTAGGCATCGAAACAATTAAAACTTTGTCCACGGTAGTCGTTTATCAGAGATCTTCACAAATTTTTTACATAGAAATAGATAAATAGTGTATGCAAGTATAAATAAACCCTTTGACTGCGGCGCATGTTAATCCAGAACCATCGATTTTAGGCATTCACGTGACAATCAAATTGAAATTGAATTATATTTTAAGAACATGAAAACATCAAAATAGTTGTTTAATCAATTACTATGTAACATGGGACAAAAACCCTAACACTATACCAGTTTAATAAAATAGTGAATGTCTTATAGTAAAAAATTTATTGGTCTTATACAGGGTGGGCCACTACATAATTGCCATCTAGATTTACGTCATGGTATTCCTACCATAACTGGTCAAATGACCAGTCTTTATTTTTCTCTTTCACGAGGCAACGTACTTCTAATTTTTCCATTATATGTTTAGAAAGTTGTGTTTTGATGGTTATTTTATGTTCAAAAATGTTTTAATTTTCACCGGATGGAAGATAAAACGCCCTTGAAAACGAATTTTGTTTCAAGTAGTTAGTTTTAGAGAAAACAATTATTTAAGAAGAAGTGCTAGCTAGTAATTAAATTAATTTTCAATTAAATAAACAATTTATGACCCAGTTTTATCGTACACTAGTCGTACGATCAGTAGGAATTGCTGAAACTTCTTTGGGTGTGTAGTGTCAAAGTAAATTTCAAAATAAACATGGAAGATAAAAAAAATTATAGTAGATGATGTGATCATTAGATAGGGGATGAAATGCCCTTTAAAATGAGCGTTTGTACGAGTCGATAGCTTTATTAGTTCCGGAGATATGGCGATTTTAATTTCAAGTCGATGCGGTGGCTAGTTCCGAAGATACGAGGGTCCGAAGCGTTTGTTTACGTTTCATTGTTATCAATGAACTCGCGCGCGTGACAATAGTAAACAGTGCGTAGTAAATTCTTGGAAATACTACGACTTCCTGGTCACGTGACTGTCTCGTCTCACGCGCGACAAGGAGGTACTACGCGACGCGTCAGACGGAGACAGAGATAGTCAAATTGAGAAAAATACCCTTTCACATAACTTACGATATCTCGAAAACGGAAAGTCGGATCGACAAAAACCAAAAGCCATTTTAAAGGGGAAGGTTCACCGCTTCTAACAATACCTCAATAATTAATAAAACACTAGTAGTTTCGGAACTGCACGCTTCTAAACTTTCAGTATTTTTAATACGCGTTAATAGCCTTTTCTAAGACGCAGAGCGGAATTTTAAAAATTACCTTTTACATAAATTACAATATCTTGAAAACGGAAAGTCGGATCGACAAAAACCAAAAGCCATTTTAAAGGGGAAGGTTCACCGCTTCTAACAATACCTCAATAATTAATAAAACACTAATAGTTTCGGAACTGCACGCGTTTAAAGTTTAACTATTTTAATTTGCAGAAAATTCCTCGAGAAAGTTTAAAAAAACGCACTTTAAACTAGAGTAACCCTTTAATATTGTAATGAATTTATTTACAAGAAAGATTCAATACGATTTACGATTAATTATTCGTTCATATTGGCCATTATGGCGGAGGCTCAGCATATACTTTATTTTTTAAGTCAAACTATTCTCAGATGTTTATATCTGATAACGCTGTTGAATAAAATCCTAAATAAAGCTAGTATTAAGTAAAAAAACAAGTATTATTGATGCAAGAAGTGTCCTGTAGGTACAATCAACTTCATATGAAACATGTTTCGCTAGACGTAATAATAATGACGCAAATCTAGATAACAATAAGAGGTGACCCACCCTATATATTCACCTACATATGTAAACCTTTCGCCAAAGGGTTGATAGAGTAATAAATATGGTTATATTAAATATTGTTGTCAAATTTGTCCGTCCAACATACAAAAAAGACTACAGTGCGCTGTATAACTATAGCACCATGTTTATTTTCAAATCACGTGGAAATAAAAAATTGCTCCAACACAAAAAACGATCCAAAATTATCTGTATACACGTTTTAATATTTTTAGAACATTTGTAAGTAAATATAAATCATTGTTATATAGCTAGCACTTGGAAACAAAAATAATGAATAAAAAAAAAGTGTTTAGTCCAAAAAGGAGACTCAAACCTACGTTATGGTCAGAAAACTTCGACATTTTTTGCTTTTTTTTATTTTTTATAACACGGTACTTCAATCTGAAACTCTGAAAAAATTCCCAATTGGCACAAACTGTTTTCCTTTGATAAGCTATCGAATGATTTCGATTATACCCTTCCTCTTATTTAATTTCTAACATCGGAATCTCAGAAGTTTTTAATTTTCGTAATTCCACTAATTTTAGATTTTCCATTTTTAATACATTTATATCGAGAATGTTCATTTGTCTACTTTTTCTATAGAAAGTTTTTATATATCTATTTAATGGTTCGAAACCTATAAAAGTATGGGCGTTACCATAGTTATGCAATGCACTGTATATGATATTGACGACCAAAGATATTATTTTTTCCAAGTGATCTGTAAATCACTGTATGTTTCGAAAATGCATGCATAATCTTGAAGGGTAATACAATTTTGGTAAATAAGAATATGCAATTTTACTCTTTGCAGCAATGTTAGATAATCGTTGACAAGTCTCGATTATTCAATCGTTTGAATATAAAAAAATATTGATCACCAAGAAGATTAGAAAAAGTAGGAGGAAGTACTGCTACTTGAACTTTTAAGGTTCTGTACAAAAATTGATCATACACCATCAAAAGAAATACATTTAACGTGTAAAGCTGATTGCGGTGCAATTTATGATGAAAACGTTCGACACTTTCGGTGTGATTTTTTGAACTTGCACGTACATAGATGCATCGCAACTTTACTTTTAATATTTACAGAGGGGAATCTGTACTTATCAAGATAGCATTCTAAGAGCAATATCAAAAAATGTCCTCTATGCATTTGCGTTTTCACAGTATCAAAAATCATGCAACGTGTAATATTTGGTAGTGCTTAAATTAGCTACACGCACATCCAGCTTTGATCAACGATAATTTAAAAAGTTAGGCGTATGAAAACATCAGGAACTCATTTTAGGTGCATGAAATGTCTAATGAGTTCATGAGCATTCATTATAAACAGTTACTAACTAATAAACATTTTATTCAGTTATACGTCTTGCAGGCAACTCTTAATAATTATAACAATAGCATTGTACTCTTATGCTCTTACAGCTGGTTCTTTTTTTTTAATAAAAAGAAAAAAATATCTACGATATCACTAAGGACTCTTAGTAGTTACGTAATACAAAACACATTCATTGCAACAACATATCATTAGAGTGTGCGATAATCTTCTATTACCATCAAACTATATACGTAATAAATTTATAGATTCGTTTCTTATTCACTGAATGCTGAAAGTCATATTACTGAATATGTAAATTAAATATAAATTACTGGATTTCATAAAGGATTATTTACCTGTAGAGAATGGTGAAGTGGTCCATCATATTCGGTCTAGCAGTTTACAATAATAAAAATAAAATAATAGAATGAATGTACGTTATAATAGCCATATTCAAATTTTTTGCAATTATGTATTTTAGGCAATTATTCGTGAGTATGTAATGCTCGTTTCGCGATTAAATGACACTGTATTTGATCAAACGCACGGACATTGTTTATACAACACGGAATAAGTACTAAATAAATTGAAAGCAAGCTTGGAACTGAAAAACTTGATTGCTCTTACATTCGTCTGACCGTCGTGTACGATAGAAACGATCAAAATACATTGCTTTTATCACTGACCAAAGATGAATGCTGCCAGAAGATAATGAACATTGAGCTGATATAATATTGTGGGACACTGACCATAGGGAAATTCGACGTATGATCTGGTTCGACTTGATCGGAGGATGGATCGATCGATGATGATTGTTCCGTTTCAGACGGCGGATATTTTTTCTCCATATTATCACTATGCATGTCGCTTCGCGATGCATAATTTACTAGAGCAAATTCGAGTAGAGCGCCGAATACGAAAGTCAAGCATACGCCTGTCCAAATATCAATAGCCTTTGTATAAGAGACTGGTGGCAGTGAGGCATTTATTCCTGACGTCTGTGTGGCCATCGTCAACAGTGTTGTTACGCCTATTTTGAAAATTCATTCGTGTAACTTTATTAGAATCGAGTGTGTGTGTGTGAGATGATGCAATATGTATCGCCAAAATACGTTCAATGTCTATGTATTCTAGTGTGAATCTTGTTTTTCTTGAAACTATGCTCACCAGAACGGTGTCCATGATATTTTTACTTGATAAATTAGCTCAAAATTTTAGGTGCATATTCGGTATACAGGGTGTTCGGTCATTCCCGGGAAAAATTTGATTCTAGAGGCCAAAATAAGACGAAAATCAAGAATATCAATTTCTTGACTGAGGCCTCGTTAAAAAGTTATTAACAAAATTAAATTAAAAAATTTCAAATCATTCTGGAAAAATTATTGTTGGTTGCAGGGGTCAATTACAAGCATTTTTGGTGAATAGACATACCCCCGAAATCCTACGCACTTTCGAGAAAAAAATTCATTACCGAAAATATGATGTCTGACCATATCGTTGATATGTTTCACTGAAATTTCATGCGTATCTTTGAAACATCATAACTTCTGAATGGATTGAAGGATTTTAATGTTTCAAGAAGCAAATTACGCGTATTTTAATGGAGGATATGTAGAAATTCCAAAAATATTCGAAAAGTTGTTCCTTAATCCCGTAAAGTTAGAAAAACCCCATAAAAATGGGGTCAAATATTCAAACGTCCATAACTCCTACAATAGTCAATGAATTTCATTGAAATTTAGTGTGAAAGTACAGCTCATGGATGCCTACAAAAAAGTATTAGACAACTTTTCTATAGGGTGTCAAACAAAATGTTGTAAAAGAAGTGAAATTATATTTTTTCATATATTCTATTTAAACATTGACTGGATGAACATTTTTCATTGAATTCTAATATATATTTCTTTTCTCTGGATATAAGGTGATCTTTAAATCGCGGATCTATGAATATAGAATATAGAATTCCTACCCACTTTTGAGAACAAAATTCGAATAGGTACTGAAATTTTTAGACGAAATTAAAAAATTTCAAATCGTCCTAAAAAAATTATTTTCAGTTGCAGGGGTCAATTGCAATCATTTTTGGTGAATAGACATACCCCCAAAATCCTGCACATTTTCGAGAAAAAAATTCTGTACTGGCGGATCTTTAAACTTTAATAACTTCTTAACGAAGCCTCCATCAACAAATTAATATTCTTGATTTTCGTCTTATTTTGGCCTGAAATTCTACCCAGGGGTGGCCCAACACTCTATATGTGTCGTTATAGCCCGTACTAGAATTTCTATTTTTTATCTTTCTTTAGGCCTCCGAAATTAAAAAAAAATATGAAAAATCGATAATCAAACTTCAAAGTGTTGCCACGTTTTCGTTTATTTTATTACCAGCTATAGCTAAACTCATATTAATTAAGAATCTCTGATATTTTTTCATTTTCGTGCCACAAATTTTAATTTTCTTTCACCCAAAAAATTTTTAAATGTCAGGAAATCATGTATAAATAAATCTTGTTTTTACTGGAAAAATTAATTATAATTTTTCACTAAAATATCCCCTACAAATACCCTAATATTCGAATAGCAAACCGAGAATTCGAAAGGACCGAGTTTCTCAAAAGAATCAAGCATTTTGATGCTAAAAAAATATCTTAAATTAATAATACTGCAATTCAATAACAACTAAACTTCAAAATCAATCTACTATTATCTCATACGTGGCAGTGTACTCTTCGTTTCATACATATTACGTGTATATCAAACATATTATACAAATAATAAATCGTGAATAATTCATATGTATATAAATGTAACAAGTTCTTTTCAGTCAAAAGATAGTTACCTAACGAAACTCGAGCTGGTACAGCACTCTGATCGAGCCAGAATGATACCCAGGATACGATGACGAGCATACAGCAAGGAATGTAAATTTGAATAAGGTAGTAACTGAATTCTCTCTTGAAGAGCAGATCCACCTTCAGACAGCTGTACTCTCCTGCAAGTGAATTTTATCGTTTAGTCATTGACCGTTTGTAAAACGTGAATACACGTAATATTAATTTACCAACCAGTATTAGTTTTGCTATTACAATAATCAGTAAGAAATTTCTCCAATGTGAACCGAGGTAGGTGTAGGTTTTTAACAACTTGGACCGGATCTCCTTCCTTCCACAGGAATACTAAATCGGCGGTTGTCCAACCATCTGAAACAACGATATCGTGATTTAAAAATTCTATAATGAGCAACCTAATTATTCCATAATTGGACTTTTAATAATATACGTGATACTTACAACTTGCCATACGCAATGAACAAACTTGTCGATCCAAAGGGTACAATTGTAAATTCATTGGGCATGATAACGTCAAGGATATCCTACAATGCAAAGAACAAATCGAATTTGTACAAATTCGCTGGCCATGTTTCTGCAATTTCTTATTCAAGTTCTATGAAATGCTATTTATACTAATGCTATTTTAAAAATTTATATTGTTTACCGTATACTGTATAGAACGGAACCATTTGGGTAAATACGAATGTATACATTCGGCATAATAATATTGTGAAAATGGCCTTCTTTCTCGTTCGAAAAGAACAAATCTGGCATCCAAACACGACTCGCATCCGTTAACGTTAAATATTTCAGACGACCTATAACGATACACACATACCATGTAATAAATTGTTATACAGCGTGTTGTGCATATTTTAATGAAGCGAAATGTATCGTAAATTAGAAGGTTCGACTATTTTAAATCGAGTAAGTTTCGAAAGTTCGAGCATTAAGTTTCACGCGATTAAGAAATGTAAATTTAATCAGATATTATAACACATAGAAAATGGTTATTACTAGTTATAATTACCATTAAGATCATTAAACTGTAATCGATCATCTAGCCATTGTTCCCGGAATGTTAATTGTACAGAATATTCCTGCAGGCGAAAAGAAAGGAGAGTAATTTAGTCAAGTGACTATAGTTCTATGATACTAAGGTAAATAGCAAATTATTTAGGCTCGGAATGATTATTTAGAATCTCTATGAGAGTAATTTAATATAAGTTTGTTAATTTCTGAAACAATATAGCGAAAATAAAAAGGGCAATCGTAGGTACGTTAAATCAGACATTAGAAAGCAAAATTATTAAATATTAAGATACTTCTTGCAGCGATTTATGACCAACCGTGAAGCAAATTTTATCAAAGAAATTCTAATATCCTCTTTCTTATGTCTAATGTAAAATCTCTACATTCGTCTCTAATTTGTCAATCTATGTTAAATCATTAAGGCTAGAAATTAACGCGGGTAAAAAAACAAATTATTTACGCATACATAATACCCTGTTTTAAGGAGGAGGAAATTAGTGGATAAACAAAATGTTGTTTATTGACTGTATCGAAACTTTGTTGACGCTTCTTTTGGATACACACAATAAACTTTTCAGGAGGATAAATCCAAACATATGCTGTACATTATTTTCATTGTTGGAGCTTTCTTCGAACTTGATTTACTTACTTTTCAATACGTGCAACGTTATCAAAATTATTTTGTCGGCAATTTCGGTTACTTTGAGTGTTTCTTTACTGACCCGGTTAATGGTATCACGAGTATGTTTCGTATGAATTTTTGCATTTTTTTAAATCAGACCTAAAAACCAGGCCCGACCTAATTTCGACCCTCGAGAAAAATACTGAGAAGTGGCATCGTGGAAAATATATCCACGCAATTTAATTCGTTATAATGATTTGAAAAAATTATTTTAGCTTATGTTTATACCACCAGAAATTTGTTGGTTGTAGAAAGTGGGCTGCGAGGAGAGATGAGCAAATTTTGATTCGAACAGTACGATCTCATCCCTGTTTTAAAATTAAAAATTTGTTATTTACAGATTCATTTCATTTTTCACTTGTTTTGAATACTGTAAGAAGTAAGTAATCACTAAAATTGTGAATATTCGAATTTTTTTCTGAATCAGAAGTTTTGAGAATCTCGTATAAGAATAGTAAGGTGATTCCAGATACGTGAATCGAGTCAGTAATCGCATTATGTAACACAAAGTCACCGAATAGTTTTCGAAAAATTTTCAAGGATAATTTTAATCGTCATGTAAACGATTTCTGGGGATTGAGATACAGCTTTTCGTGCACAATCGAACATAATAGGCCACAGGCCGGGCGAAACAACGAAAGAAAAAAGAAATGAGGTGAAAAGAAAAGTTTGTCAGGAGCGGAAGATGCTTTTGTAACCTTTCGATGATTTTGCAATAATGTATCGGGTATCCTACCTCTTCAATTCTGACATATCTTATTCTATTATCCGTGCAAATTAATGATGAAGCGATGTATTGTTGATTCGAGATCGAATTGTTTCGAGTAAGATTGTATTATAAGTCTGATGCAAGGAAAAACGCGACAAATGGCTGAAAAATCGGCGTCAGAGTGTTTGAAACAATAATTTTTTTGCTTATTCTTTAAATATATTACAAATGGTTCGTCCACTAATGCAAATGATCTTTATTAGTAACATAAATGGGTCATTCCACGCAAAATTGGACACTTTTTGGAGTAAGTTTACAAGTTAAGTTCAACTTTGGATATGTTACAATCCTTCGAGATATTTAAACATAACTCAAGGGGTTTTTCGAAATTTTGTTAATTATTGAAGTTATAGTCGGGTAGAGTTTGTTCAAAAACTATAGCTGCTGAGCTAAGAGATGAATTAGATTGCGTTTTTGACATTAGAAAACAAAATAAAAATTGCACCGATTAAAAAGAAGTTTTTTTTTGCAATTATTTGAAACGAATGCTCTGCTTTTGAAATATTTAAAAATCTGAAAAAAATAACAACATACCTCCATTTGCTCTCTTGACAATTTAAAATTGACCCTATGAAAATTAATTTCGGCTATAACTGTCATTGTTTTAGAGACTATGCAATCACTGTATCACTGTAGTCCTAAATTCCCAATATTATTATAAATATTACCTATACTGAACCCTACAGCGATCGCATAGCCTCTAAAACAGTGATAGCTATAGCCACCTCATCGCTTATAGCGTGCACCACTTCGCTGAAATTAATTTTCATAGGACCAATTTTAAATTGTCCATGTTTTTGCAAAGACCTCCATCAAGAGGACAAACGGGGCTATTGTATTCTTTTTTTCATATTTTTAAATATTTCAAAAGCAGAGCATTCGTTTCAGATAATTGCAAAAAAAAATGATAAAAAACAACTTTTTAATCGGTGCAATTTTTATTTTGTACTCCAATATCTTCGCTATAGGCAGTCAAAAATGCAAACAAATCCATTTGTTAATTAAGCATAGTTTTTTGAAAACCTTTACGCGTCTGTAACTTTAACAATTAACAAAATTTCGAAAAATCCCTTAAGTTATGTTTAAATATCTCGAAGATTTGTAACATATCCAAAGTTGAATTTCATTTGTAAATTTAGTACAAAAAGTGTCCGACTTTGAGTGAAATGATCCAAATGTATGTTTCTATTCCACCTGTTAACATATATGGTTACTTGGATTACAGAAGTATACATTTGAATAATATTTATATACATAAACAATAACTAGTATAAATTTGAATTTATAGCCAGCCACTTGCCGCAGTTAGGAGATTTTGTTTACCTTCATCGTTACGTTGGACAGACAATAGTAATTGTTTTTAATGTCATAAGATATCTCATTCGGCCCTTTAACGCTCCTAAAGTACTCAAAAGTTCAAATCGATGGGATTAACCTCTCGCGTGTCCAATTAATCAATCACGTCGATAAAATATCAACCAATCAGGCTGTACACGTTCATAGAAAATGTCTACTACAAGAGACAGAAGACCAATAAGTTAAGGATTCTTTCCTTTTTGTCGGAAGAATACCGGGAGTCCAAAAAGATTGGGAGGCGAAAGGATTAGCTTTGGAACGTTTTAGAGGCTTTTTCGAGTAAAGAGTACTTTGCACGGCGAAAGGTCGCGGTTATTTTTTTGTCCATTCTTTTTTTTCTTGACCAAGGGAGCGTTAAAAAATCAAGGCCGTGTGGATATCTTGCTGAAATGAAAAGTCTTGTAGCAAAGAACGGTTGAGAATGTAAGTAATGAATGTTTCGGTATATATATATATATATCTGTATACACTGCGAAAGGCAATGTAAGAGTTCATGCAAGAAGCAACATCGAAACTAACTACGTCAGTACAAAAATAGTTGGAACTAACAGAACTATAGTTTAACTAGTGATAAAATATATGTGTATATATATATATACGTATATATACATATATATATATATATGTATGTACATAGCAGTAGACAACTAGCATGCATGTTGGCTCACAGTTCTATTTTCCCAGCCTGGCTGGACTTGTCCACATCGACGACATCCAGTTTGTTTTCTATTTGGGAGGGGGGGTTAAGGCAAGTGCTTCCATATCTTTTTTTTTGTGTTTTAATAACTTATCGATCGTCATCTCTGACGACTCATCCTTTATTCTTGGCAGGGTACAGCTTCGACAAGTTTAACCGGAATTGTCAAAACCTAGCCGATCCTCTTATCTCGATTTTGTTCGGTTCGGTTTGTTTTTAAATATCGTATTAGTTATATCGTTTTGTCGACCAGTTCCTGGTTGTAAAGACTTATGATTGTCCGCAAGTGTTTCTGAAAATTGAGCAACATGTCGCAAAGGAGGTAGTTCCCTGAAACCTCCTGATGATGGTTTCTTTTGTTTAAAGATTTCTCGCTGAGATTGCGGAGTGTATGCGTATTTTTGTTCGTCGCATAAACACAATCACGATCACTCTTTCTACGATCATCTCCAAGTTCAGTTTGTAATACTGAATTGTAAAATACAGCAAATAAAACGTGGTAAAAAATATTTGTCATCCATTATACATTTTTTTTTCAAATGACTGTAAAAAAAAGTATTTTGGGTAAGAAATAGTTTCTACTGTTAAAGAGACACATTGAAACGCTGGAAAATAGTTTTTCGAAGAAACGTGTGTTTAATTATACAGGTGTGTTTCATAAGACTCAATAATTTCGGGAAACGAGACATTTCTAGATCAAAAACATACGAGAAACCGTCGATATTTATGAAACTCCTGTTTTAAATTCTTCTGATGTTTCTTCGTGACGATTTTCATTCATAACTATTCGCAAAAGAAAACGAGATTTCTCGATTTATCGATCACGTGAATTTGTTTAGATTTGATTGTTAGTAATTTAAATATTATTCGCTATTGTATCCAGATATGCTTCAATTCCAAATATTCGACCGTTGAATTCGTAATTGAATCAAAATTCAAGAAAAAAATGTCTGGAACACTAATATTATTTTCATAGTAAAAGAATGTTAGTTTTCGTTCTTCTGTATAGTCCACCTTTTCTTTAAACTGTATTACAGTGGTTTCTATTATGTATAAAAGGTAAACAAACGATGATATAGTATCTTAAAATCTAGTTCATAGATGATGCTTAATTATTCAAAATCTTCGATCGACTTAACGTGAAGTGATGTCTTGTCACTTCATTCGGTCCATTCACTTTCACTTTTATGAATACATTACACTCAAGTAGTATAAGTCAGCTAATAATCAGCCTCTACCGTAAAGATCGCATTTTTAGCACATAAGTGATTTTATTAAATCCGTTAAAGTTTTCATGTTTAATTCATTTTCAATCTCCAGGTTTAATCATTAATAATTAAACCATTTTTAACAATTACAGCTTAGCTTTAATATTGTCAAACATATCTTTATAAATATTGACTCACTGTTGAAAAATGTTATCGAATATGTCAGTTCAATATTTCACAGTAATAGTAATCAGATATTACTCATTAATATGAATAAAAAAAAAAATTGATCACGGCTTGAATATGAAAAATTAACTCGATACGAAGAAATTTCTTATTTCGAAATTCTACTGTTA